ATAATTGCATTTTTTATAAATTTTGTTTCGTATTAGAATACAACAAATATTAGAATGAGTTGAACCCTACTAGTTCAGTTCGTTTAACGACCCTATAAATAAATGAAAATTTAAAATTTAAGAGTGTCACTTTTGATACCATGCTATTATTATTTCAAAACTTGCAGCACTTGCAAAAAATGAAAATCTAGATGAATTAGCATACATGTTTATTTCTCGATGAATTTAAAAATAGAGACAAATAAGATATTTGATTTCTAAGTAAATATAAAATGGGAGTGTGGCCCACTCCAATATATTTTATCTCAAATTTTCTTCTTGGTGAATCACCTACCGTGCAATTAAGTGGATCATTTTATATAAGTTGACCCCTCACTCAAGGTAGATTATTTGTTAATAAAAATGAAAGAAAAAAAGTGTTGAAAGAAATCTGGATCCTAGATCCTAGGCAGTGGCTGAACCACTGAAGGGAGTAGAGGGGCATAGCCCGCACTCAAAATTTTCAAAATTCATATAATAAAGAATCATACAATTCAAATCTCAAAAGATAAATAAAATAATTTTTGATATTCGTAGTTGAGATCGCTTTAAATTTTATTTTAAAGTTAATCTAACGGCTAATATTAACACTTCAAATTTAATTAGAAAAATAGGGCCCTAAAGGTTTGTTTGGAGTGACTTTTTAAAAATACTTTTAACAATTATTTTTCATAAATACTTTAAAAAAAAAAATAGTATTTGAAATCGCTCCACCACTACCTCTACCACCACCACCACCACTACAACAACAACGGCAACATCAGCAAATTCAAGATCCAATGGTCCCCCAGGGGGACCAGTACTAACACCAGTGCCAAGACATTCCCTCGAACCAGGTTGACAAGTGGCAGAGGGATTACCGTAGTCAGGGGCCCGATCCCTTCACCGAGCACCTAGTTAAGCAACACCATGACACTCTGGCACCCCTTGCTTCTGTCGAGTGGGCCGCTCGAGCTATTACTAGGAGGGGCCATACTGTCATGGAGTTCGGCTTTATAATTCACTTTCCTGACGTCGCTCTAGCAGTCATGGAGTATTACGGGGACAATCAACTTCTCCAAGGGGTGATTCAACACAACTTGGTGGTAAGTAAGTCGAGTTTCTTTTTGTCTTGAATTCATTTGGATCACTTTGTCTTTTTTGACTTTTGTTCCTCTTTCAGGCCTGTCAACAGATGGGGGTCATNCCACCGCCACCGCCACCCTCGTCACCCACCACTAATTGGTATCTTCGTCATCCATAGCCCCCACACACCACCATCGTCATATTATTCTTATATTTATTACTATTACCACCATCATCCCACTATCACCATTAGCACTCCACCACCACCCATCGTCCCCCACCATCGCCACCAGCCACTGTCACCTACTCCACCACACTTACCACCACCAATCACCATCATTTGTTCTCAGCCACCACTGCAGCCACCCACTATCACCTACCCCCACCATACTTACCACTATCGGCATTCGCCACCCCCATCATAATGTCACCTAAAAGTACCCATCGTTGCCCACCACCACTATCATCACAACCCACCACCACCGTCATCGTCCCACCACCACCACTGTTAACCACCATCACTGTCGTCTACCACCACCTACACTCATCACCACTACCATTGCCACCCACGGCTATCACTACCATCATTATCACTCAAAACCCACTACCACTATCACCATCACCACCTACGGCTGCTATCACCACCACGGTCGTAGCCTTACCTACCACAACCATCAATGTCTCCCACCATCGCCACTGTCGCCCAGTACCATTACTACCGCTCATCCCTACTACAATCGATGCTTAAATTTCTTTATTTATATTTTATGTTTGTGATTTGATTTTAGATGTGAATACAAATATGTTTACAATTGTTTTTTATTACTTCGTGCCTTCAAGCATGATGAATAACTAGTACTTTTATATAGGAAAATTTTCAATTACATTTTTTTAATTTATTATATATTCAAAGACACCGCTTCTATTATCAAAAACACTGTTGACACCCTATTTTAGTTTATATTTAAACATCATTGATACTCCCTGTTATTAAACCTCAATTCCTAACAAAAACATATTATCTAAAATATCAAAAATGCCCTTACATGAAAGAAAAAAAANTTATATTTAAACATCATTGATACTCCCTGTTATTAAACCTCAATTCCTAACAAAAAAATATTATCTAAAATATCAAAAATGCCCTTACATGAAAGAAAAAAAATATTGAAAGGAATCTGGATTCTGGATCCTAGGCAGTGGCTGAACCACTAAAGGGGGTAGGGGACATATCCTGCCCTCAAAATTTTCAAAATACTTTTATATATGTATGAACTTGCAATTCTCCTCTAATTTATGTAACTAACATTCCGTAACCTTCTGATTGTTATGTTTGATAAGTTTTAGTTGTGTTTCAATAGTATTACTTTGCCTACTTCTTGAATTTTTCTTTAACCACTTTGCTATTTTGATATGTCAATTGATAATACTTGGAATATAGTTTGTCAAATGTTAAAAGATGTAATTAATCTCTTTTTGTTATTTTTCTTTGTTTGTGTATTATTTATTTTTGAGGCTTTTGTGTCTAATGGATTTCTATTTGTCAAATATAATGCAATGAATGTAAACATATTATTTTATTTTTGTTGATCGAAAAAAACATTAAATTGTATTAGTAATTGTGCCCACCGAGATGTAAATTTATGGTTCTGCCCGTTATCGAAGGAAATGGCATTGTCCATACATTCTGACGAGATTAGGGGCGGCCCAATAGGAGAGGCAAAAAGGTGTGGCCTTTAGACCCGATTATAAAAGAGACTTCATATTTCATTTATGGTATAATTGATGCATAAATTCTAAACTCATAATATTCTAAGTCAATGTCAAAAGAACTTTATAAACTTAAGGCCAATGAGAAAATTTTATGTTCAATGTTCTAGACTCATCCATAAATCAGCCCACAAAATTTAAAATCTATAGTTCTCCCTGTATTCTAATGCTTCACAAAATCCATATCTTCAAACTTACCTAAAAATAGTCAACTCAATTTTGCTGGCAAGAGTGATAATCTAACTTTGATCAAGAGAGAATCAAAATTTAATTTCTTAACGTAACACTAATAAATTAAATTTTATATTTTATATTTTTAGGGCTTTGTTTAAATTGAAACTTATTTTTTTTAATTATAAATCTTTTTTGATCATATGTATTTACTAGAGATAACTCGTGCCTAAAGACATGATACAATGCTAGTAAGGAGAGATGGATTTTGGGGAGAGAAAATTCAATATGAATGGTTTTGAGATTGATGTTAGTGGCTGTTGCATGAGTTTATTTGAGATCGCAGATAAACTTATTAAAACATGTCATGTTTTATATTATAATTTTTGATTATATAGTATAGACAACCATTCGGATATAAAAACTTAAAAATAAGAAAAATTAAAAAACTATTGTACCTCAAAAAAAAAAAAATCTTTTGATAAATTTGTTACAAGTATCAAACAAAAATATATGTTCGTAATTTATAAAATATGATAGCAAAATTTGACAATACAATAATTTGATTAGGAATGTGCTAGCAAGAAACTTATTTTTAAAAAATTACATTAGTATTAAAAAAATCAAAATGCCTTATTTAAATTTACCACTTTAAACCTCAATATGTGTCGGGCCGCCCCAACTAAGATTAATGCTAAATCAGAGAAACTAATGCACAATTTTTCAACCCTATTCCCCATCAAATTAGTAGATTATAGTAGAAAACAAATCCATCATATCTTCTGACAAACAAAAGTTATGAAAACTATCATGTCTGGGCATAGAAATTCACAAATTCAAAGTGTAATTATGCCATACAAACTTTTCCTTAATTTATTTCATAAAAGTTATCTACCAAAAATAAATTATTTCCTAAAAGTTTTGTGACTTAAGGACTTGGTAAGAAATTTTAAACCATTATTATCTGTTTACAACAAAACATGCAATTAGAAAATATGCCAAACATTAGGTTATATATATTGGGACATGGACCTACCTGTGACGTTTATTTTTGCTACTCGTGGTATTTTCCTTCCTAACGTTATATTTGGAAGATTTTCCTTAACATGCATGATAATTTGTTCTATTTTGTTAAGCACTTATCCATTGTTCTAAAATATGAGGATTGATGGAGACCGCGTCGGTTAAGCTTTTAACATAAGTGTAACATTTCACAATACTTTCATAGTTGACATCTACAACGACACAATCTATCTACACTTACCTGATTGGGGGTAATGGCATCATGGTTCATGAAAATTATCCTTGTAGTTATTTTCATCTTGTATTTAAAGGGCTTTTTTATCAAAGTAACTGTTGCATTTTTTTGTTAACCGTCTAATCAAGTGTTTGGAGGGTGGTTTCTCATTGACTCGAACCACAAGACGTTCATTCACCTCTAAAGGTCCCCCCCAAAAAAAAAAAATTTCTAATGGATTCTGTTTTACACATCTCTAAAAAATTGCATATAAAACTCTTTTTTCGAATCAAATCGTTTACAGTCAAATTTCTGTTAACGATTTATCAAAAAAAAAAAAAAAAATTCCTGTTAACTATCAATGAGACTTTGTACATAAAAGGGATCTCATACAAATTTATAATAAGTGAACTCCTATTGAGAAAAAATGAAGCAAAACATACCGGAGGGATTCGAATCCATTTTGTCTTATTAGCTTGATTTCTTGCTTGATAGCTGATTGATCGATCTCAAGTCAACTGAATAACGTTTCTTATCAAACCCAATTTACTGTCAATTACTTGTATAAACTGCTTGACAATAAATAAAAGGACCCTTCATTGGAAAGCCTGAATTTGCGTTATTGTGATTGGAATCCCGAGCCTATATAAAGGCGTGTCATTGTTAAACCAACTGCGAAAAACTGACTAAACAAGCCATTTACTTTTGGTTAAGCATAATGGCATTGAGTAGTGGAGTTTCCCTCTACCTGATTTTCTTCTCTTTGACATTCTTGTTCTGGGACACTGTCGAAGGGAACCCCAACTACCGGGATGCCCTAGTAAAGTCCATCTTGTTCTTTCAGGGGCAGAGATCAGGGAAACTCCCAACAGGCGAACAGATGCCTTGGAGGTCCAATTCCGGCCTTTCCGACGGTTCCCTAGCCCATGTATGTTGGGTTTAAGATTTAGTTTCATTTTTCTTACCATTTTCTTAGTAGCCGTGCCTTTAACGTATGTCCTTAGGTTAAGGCACCATTAGTTTGCATGTTATATGGTCAATCTATTTGTTACTTGAACTTGTTAAAATTGCATTCATATCTTTTAATTTTATCGTAAGTCAGTGGACCTTGTTAATAATTGTTGGTCCAAATTGTAGGTCTAAATGCTATAAGTTCATGAACCCAAAAAAAAGTGCATGCTTTTTACTTGGATTGAATATTAAGTCTTTTTTCATTTAGCATGAGATAGCCCTAATAACTTTATTTTTACCTTTTATAATTACTTTAAGATGGCAATTATTGCATGCCATTGAAAGGGTCGTATGAGTCGATCCATTTATTCTAACTTATTAAAATTATAGTAATTTGTCAATTTCATTTCATAGTTAAGAATTAGCCTCCTAATTATAGGCCTAAATTCTATTTATCCAAAAAAACACAGAAAAAGTGCAAGTAATGGATGACTTGTCTTCTCTAGGACCACTGAAGTCTTCTAAATTGAAGGTCCGTGGTTTGAAACTTCTACCCGGTATCGAAAGTATTCAAAAATAAATGAATTACTTCTCTCTAATGTATGTTAACAGGTGGATTTGACCGGAGGCTACTATGACGCCGGAGACAACGTAAAGTTCAACTTCCCAATGGCCTTCACCACTACGATGCTATCATGGGGCACACTTGAGTATGGCAAAAAAATGGGTCCCCAATTGCAAGATGCAAGGGCTGCAATCCGTTGGGCCACCGACTACCTTCTCAAGTGTGCCACAGCCACCCCTGGTAAGCTCTATGTTGGTGTTGGGGACCCTACTGTTGATCATAAGTGTTGGGAGAGGCCCGAGGACATGGACACCGTCCGGAGTGTTTATTCTGTGTCACCAGGCAATCCAGGCTCCGACGTGGCAGGGGAAACTGCTGCTGCACTCGCTGCTGCTTCCATGGTTTTTCGGAAGGTCAATCCGAAATATTCGACCTTGTTACTCAGAACCGCAAAGAAAGTTATGCAATTTGCAATGCAGTATAGAGGAGCTTACAGTGATTCACTAGGCTCTGCTGTTTGCCCTTTTTATTGCTCTTATTCTGGTTATGAGGTATTTACACTCGTGCATTTGTGCATTGCAGTACTGAAAATTATTAAAATGAAACTATATGCAAATGCATGAAATTTAAGGAACACATATACAAATTTGAAAATTGAAGATTGACTATGTTGAAAAACTAAAAATAAAAATGGGTCTATTGATCCTCATAGAACTTGATGTGACATAGGGCCTTGGATTAGGATAACATAAAGGTATGAAATTATCATCAGACCACAACATGTGACAAGCTCCAAACATCTTGCATGTGGCCCAGCCCAATATTTCCTATCCATAAGGATTGTTCAACCATTTTCCTTGTGTGTTCAGGATGAGTTGTTATGGGGAGCTGCATGGTTGTTTAGAGCAACAAACGATGTTTCGTACTTCAATTTCATAAAATCGTTGGGACCGAATGATGCAACAGACATTTTTAGCTGGGACAACAAATTCGCTGGTGCTTACGTCCTTCTATCAAGGGTAAAACAAGAAAATAAACTATGATAGAAGCTTCGGTTTTAGACATTCTCGAAATTTAAATCGAGTTGGATAATATTATCTAACTCTATCTTAATTTATTTTCTATTTTTCTACTCTACTTGCAAACTATGAATCATGACTTTCTTTGTAGAGAAATTTGCTGGGAAATGATAACGCTTTCGAGCAATTCAAACAAGAAGCTGAAAACTTCATCTGCAGAATTCTTCCCAACTCTCCTTCCTCCACTACACAATATACACCAGGTGAGACTAATTAGTTCCAATTTTATTGCTGAGATCCAGTCATGGGTTTTGTTTATAGCCTCTAAGTCGAAATTTAATTCTGTAATATCAAAATTAGCAGAAATCTCCCAAAAAATGTTGCCTGCTTTGTCCGAATACAAGCTTTGAGATTTTCTAAAATTCAAAACTACGTGTGATTAACTGATTGCTATCACATAATAGTAGTCTTCTTGGTGCAAATGCAGGGGGTCTGATATACAAGCTAACTGAAAGTAATCTCCAGTACGTGACATCCATAACGTTCTTGCTTAATACCTATGGAAAATACATGACAGCCACAAAGCATACCTTTAACTGTGGGAATGTATTGATCACCTCGAGGAACCTACGAGACCTTGCCAAAAGACAGGTAAGGAACATAATCAAATCTTCTTGATCTATATAGATTTTCTCGAATAGGTAAGAACTTCATTACATAGTTACATGAGGGAACGAAGGTGAAGCTCCAACTCGGGTTAAGAACCTGGAAATGCTACTATAGCCAATTGGAGTATAAAGGGTTCTATGGATTGAAAATTTGACCATGACTCAATTCAAATTCACTCTTTTCATGTTTTTAGATAAAATACAGTAATAGTCCTTCAAATATGTACTTTGTGTCATTTTAATCGTCATTCTTTCATTTATATCATTTTAATCCTGTCCTTTACAATTTCTGGCAGCAGAACCATATATATATATATATATATATATATATATATATCATTTTAGTCTCCTAAATTTTCAATTTGTATCCATTTGGTCCAACTGAAATCAGCAGTTTAACTTGAATAACAGGGGTGTTTAGGTGCGTCTAACAAATCACACTAGAGGGGTCACTTTGGACCCTCTGGTTTGCAATTTGTGTTAGTTTGAGTCCTTTCAGTTCAAAAAAATGTCTTTCGAGTGTAGCTATGTGCATCTCATGTGACCATGCCTGTTAGTCAATGTAAATTGCATTTTTTGGTTAGACAAAAGTGACCAATGTGAAACTTCAGGGATTGAGGAGGCACATTTGAAAGAATAAGGACCAAAGTGAGATTAAAACATTTTTTAGGGGATATTATTGCAGTTTGTCATCTGTTTTTGTTGTTCATTTTTTTGATTGTTAGACTAACCTGTGGCACTGTCCAAAAAAAAAAAAGAGTAACCTGTGGCAATTTCAGGTGGATTACATTTTAGGAGAGAACCCATTGAAAATGTCCTACATGGTAGGATATGGGACAAATTATCCAAGAAGAATTCACCACAGAGGATCATCATTACCATCTTTGGCCATTCATCCACAATCCTTCGGCTGTGAAGGTGGTTTTCAACCATTCTTCTACACAGCAAATGCCAACCCTAATATCTTAACCGGAGCAATTGTTGGAGGCCCGAACCAGAACGATTTCTTCTCCGACGATCGTACGGACTACAGTCATTCGGAACCTGCCACCTATATTAATGCTGCTATAGTTGGACCTTTAGCTTACTTAGCTGGTAGCTACGCCAGTTGATTGGAAGCTCACGGTTTAATTTGGCCCTCCTAATTGTAGATATATGCTTCCAAAATTGTCTCAAGCATGGACATATGCCACCAAAAATTAGGTGGAATATTGGCGTATTTTAACTTCTTGTAAGCAATATGCTTATATAAGTGGATGAATCCCGGCACACAGCTGCTGGTAGATCTCTCTCTCTCTCTCTCTCTCTCTCTCTCTCTCTGGCTTTGGGTTTTTGTATTTCTATTGTTAGAACTCCATTCTATAAGGACAAAAGAGGGCTTTGGATCTGCAAAAGCGGCAATGAAAATTTTAAACACTGGTGATCCAATTCGTAGGCAAATGCATTTTTTGGATCCCAACAGCATCCATAAGCCAACAATATGGAAACCAGAGCCGACCCAAACTTTCTGATATTCGACTTTTCTGAGCTGCATTAAATATATGTATTTTTTTTTTCTTCCAAAACTTGAGCACATCTGGTTTTAGAGTAGTGTGAAATCAACTTAGGTAGTTGGGGGGACAAGTGAGAAACTCAACAATTAATAGTGAAAACTTATTGGAGCCCATAGTTATGAGAATCAAAGCGTAATTTATCCTACACTTATCCATTGTAATTTCTCAGCATAACTTCTGCCCGATCAAAATAAAATTGCCTCAAAATGACTTTTTGAAGTAATTTTTAGCCTTTATTTGGCAATGCTTTTTTGAAGTACTTTTTTAAGCAAAATAAAATCAAAATTCAGAAGTTTTTGCTTTTTGCTTCAATGCAAGAGAAAAAACAAAAGCATGTTTGATTAGCATTTTTCAAAGAGTATTTTTTTAAATTGAAAATAGAAAAACAAAAATTATGTTTTGTAAACAATTATTTCAAAAAGTACTTTCATTTGTTAATGGACGAATTAGCAAATAAATACCATGGAAAGAAAACTAAACTATGTAATTATTTTTGTTGAACCATCATGATATAAAAGAATACATTCCTATCAAAAAAATAAAATGAAAGAGTAATCAAATTTTCCTCTTTATTAACTCATCAATGTTATAGTTTGAAAGAAATTAACTCATACATAGACCTCTGCTCAATATTTACACACGACCTATTATTTCCCAGCAGATTGAGGAGAATTAATCTGAGATCCTGACCAGTCTAAATTGTACAAAAATGAATCAATAAAACGATAAATGAATCTCAAAGGAAGGTTGGTGAAACTTATTAAGAACAGCTGAACATTAAGGCCTGCTCTATAGGACATTACGAGAAGTAGCATTCAGGAAAGATATTCAATGGAAAGTCCCTACATGATAGTGATTGGTGCCTCAATATTTCCCGACAGATGAGATTGTACCAGGGGTGGAGCCAAACAACTTTTTTAGCTGGGGCAACCTTCAACATAAAAATATTTAAACTCACAATGTTAACATTATTTTCACTTAAGTATGGTTTTATTGAAAAAATGTCAACTAATGATATAACCCATATTTACAAGAGATACACAAAAGGAGCCAACCAAAAAAAGAAAGCTCATTATATGAAAAATGTTTCGTTAGTATTTTATTTGAAGAAATTTATTTCTTGATGATTCTAAAGTTTTTTTATTTAGCCAAACATAAACTTAGTATACATAGCATGCCCAACAATCCATTTCATGAAATTTAAACCAAGCAATCACATCAAACCCAAATCATGCAAGAATTGGTTTAAACATACTCTCGTACCCATTTGTAATATTCTAACTACACAAGGAGTATGCCAAACAAGATAATTCATCTCTAATCATCTTACCCATTTCATCTACAATCTTAGGTTGAAAATACCTAGGTATCCTACCTCTTGTAGTGTATACACGTGTAGAAGAAACCCAAAAAATTCCAAATCAAGCTTCCAAAGCTTTATCCTGAAACTCCCGTCTTTGAGATTTTGGCAAAACTCATGATCTTTGGTATGATTTTATCTGTCTCGTTGTGTAGAACGACTTTGATTCTTAGCCCGATGCAATCCGATGGTTTGCTCGTCGTAGATCGGAGTTTTTCTCTCTTTTCTCTCCCTTTCTCTATTTCTAGAAATGCAAGTGAAAATGGGAGAAGAAATCTAATTTTCATTCCCTTTTTGTACCCCTCAAACACTTGGCCCATAATGCGTCACACGTTCCTTTTTTGATTGGTCCAATTTTATCCCGAATTATATAAATCTTGTCTCATGTTAAGTTTAGTGTATTTTTATTGAAATAACTTTAAATTATTTCCCAGGTTCCGCAAATAAAATCCAGTCGTGAGATACCTGATCGTCTCGTAAAATGTTAAAAAATTGAGTATCTAGGAATTCAATAAAAATTAATTGAGTAGCTAAATTTCGTGATATCAATTCCACGGTAAGGTCCGTTTTGTCATCCGAGTTCTAAAAAAATTGAAGTTTTTAACTCGTATCGTAATGACTAATTATTTTGGCTTTTTTAATAAAATTTTAATTTTTTTTGAGTTTTATAGTTTACATTTTAGTTGCCCTTTTCACAATCTGTGGTCTCTCAGACCGTAGGTCGATAGGCATTCAGGAAATGTCCATTAATGGACCAATTATGGAGTTCTCCATCCAAATCCCTTAAGCGGTAAATACCACCTTCTTTATGTCCACAACTTCGAATAGACCTTCTCAGTTGGCATACCATTTGCCAAACTTTTGGTCATTGAGTGACAAAGGCAATCTTGCCTTCCTCACCAAGTCCACCAACTACAAAAGCTTTTTCTTTAACCCTTTTGTTTTATGCTCGGGTGGCCCTTAGGTTTTCCACTTTAATGTAGTCTAGTGCGCCTAGCCTAACTTCATCTAAATCTTCAAGTTCTATAAGCATGGCCTCATTGTATTTGGCAGGATTTAGGATGTGTTAAAAAGCCACCCTTAGGGAATGATAAAATTATATACTAAAAGCTTGTTGTTTGTAATAAAATTCAGTTTATTATTTAATAAAAGTTCATCATTTTCTATTTTAATGAGAACCTGTGTGGATAAAATATTTGCATTATATTAAATATTGGTATACATGTGTGTCTTTTATTTTACATTATAAATAATCTGCTATGTAAAGTTCGGGTTATGTACAGAGGATCAGATTATCAGATTCTTATATGATATGAGTAAAAGTTCACAGTTTTAAATGGAAATATAGGACACACCATCAGTAGGATTATAATGCAATCTTTTGGCATAGTCTATCTTGGCTATAGGAGACTATCTAATGTTTCAAATTATTGCACTAGTACATTTTTTTGTATTGAACAGAACCATTTTTGAAGTTATTATCTTTTTATTGACTAAATAAGAAAATAAATACCTCAAGATTATTATGATTGTTGGAGCTCTTTATACTAATATATGTAATGGACATGTGCATATAATAATTGTTACTTTAATTTATCAAAGAGGGAGATTTATCTTGAGTCGACAAAGTCGGTGAATTAGGAGATAACATTATTTGTATGGAAAAAATTATTTATTAAAGGAAACTATATCCCAGTATTTAAATGGGTTGATAATGTTCTCTTGAGAAAACTCATAAGTTTGTCCATGTTAAATGCTATAAGTGGATTTAATTATCCGACGTGACAAATAAGTTGAGTGGTAAGATCTTAAGGATAAAAAGAAGTCAATTAAATATAATTGTCAATAATTTAATTAATTGACGGATATTTGTAATCTTAAAGGTGTGAATATTATTAAGTATACAATAACAAGAAACACGAAATATAATTTTGAGGCAAGGCCTAGGAGATCAATAATAAGTTTTTAGTGGACTAACTTATTGGACCATAGGACATTTGTTCTAGATTGGACATAGGATTCCTAGTCTCATTGAAAGTCCGACCCTTATTTCTCTTTAGGGTCTTTATTGTAGTCTATATATACACGACCTTTCTGATTCTCTCAACAATAGTTTTACCTTCACATTTAGAAGAGGCAGACACAAATAAAGAGAGAAAGAGAGAGAGAGAGAGAGAGCAAAAGAGAAAATTCAGTGGATTGCAACCCACACGTCATTCGAGTTTTTGGCTTTAAAGGACATACGATAGAAGATCGTGAGGTCCATCGAGCCAATTGTTTGATCTGCATCAGATTTTTGTTTGTTCTGTGACGAGATCGATCCATCAAAGGTAAACCCTAATTCTTCCTTATAGGGTTAACAAATAAATATATTTTTTTTGTACTTGTTTTATGCTCGTCGTCAACAGATCTTGGTACTCACGTTCCAACAAGTAGTATAAAAGCATCCGTTGATATCGCGTATAGATTGAATACAACCATGTTTTCCAATTAAAATGAGTGGATGTATACCATGGATGATGGGTAGAATGTGGAACTATGCTAATCTTTATTTTGCAATGTTCTTGTCCCCATTATTATGGTTACATAATTTTATTATCTTTTTATGTGATTGGATCTCACGACGGTATAATTGTGGTTAATATTATTGTAAATGATTCACATGATGGTTTATTCTTGTTGTAATATTGATGGTAGTATGTGAACTCCCTCGTGGAGGCATAGGGTCATATATCATATTATTGTTGTTGTTTTTGTATGGAATTTCTTGTCAAATACGTTTGTTCTGAAGCAGTTGTTCACAATGAAAATAGATTTTGTGAAGAAAAAAATGTTATGAAATCATTTATGTTTTGGGGGCACTGCCTCTACCACTTGACCCGACAAGTGGATCCCCGTAACCTAACCGTGCAGGTTGATCCCCGTGACCTAACCAGGTAGGTTGATCCTAGACAATTCCAACTAAGCGCAACATGGAGATAGCTAAATTCATCAAAGGACTGTTGCAAACTCCTTATTGCATTGAAACTGAAGACATGACATGACCATAATAGTTGGGAGTCTTTGTTTATATTGTCTCCTTATTTAAGTTTTTTTTTTTTGGAACATGCTTCTTACTTATGTTGATCTCTATTTTTATTATTCGTGCGTTGATTGTATGGGTAGTTAATTACTTAACGGTACCCTAATATGTGGACAACATGGATAATTGACCAGTTTAGATTATTTGTCATGGCCTAGTATCTAATTTAAAATAGGGATGTTCAAAATATGTATGTGTAATTAGAAAATTAAATTAAATTCTCAATTTTATATGGATAGCTATGGGAATTTGAAATTTTATTTATTACATGT